ACAGCCTGGAAGGAAAAGGTTTATATATGACGTCACTAGACTAGTCTTCAGGATTTAAGCTGACAATTAAGAAAATGGTGGGCATGGAAAGCCATTAATGGACACCCCCTAAGAACCAACTCCATCTGGACACACGAACATATTACCTTTAATGTTCAAGTAATAAGAGTGTTTTCACGTTTCATCTAGATCAGGGTTCAAGTCAGAGTTGTCCATAGCCTAACTCCTACTAAGGGAGTTTCCTAAAAGCTGATTTTGCTGTCTTAGGCGGTGAATTAAAACTATTTTGGATATTTTACGGCTGTGAAAGGTGATTGACAGGTGGAGAGAAAGAGGTTGGTGACATCCGACCTCCAGTGAACTAATAGTTCTGAGCATTGGACTCTTCATGGTTTCTACCCTGTATTCACCCTGCTCTCAATCCACTGGAACACACAGATATTCTTCCTTATGGCTTCTGGATTCATGGTACATTTAAATCTGCTCCTTTCATCACTGGCTTTCAAACTCTTGGACAGGCGGTCCTCAGTATCAGAGTCTGTAGTTATCCTCGGACTTCTGCACAGGCAAGGCCCTAGCCCGCTCTTTGTTTAGCCATTTCCCTCATGTTGAATGGGCACACTCGTGCACTGGTTATGAAGGGAGGCAGAGTGGTAGGTTGTGGATTAAAGAACATGCCAAATTTTGGCTTGGGATATGGCTCAGTGTTTAAAGAGATTGCTATGCAAGTGGGGGGACTAGAGTTCAGATCCCCAGAACCCACAAAAATGTCAAATGGGCATTGTTACCCATCAATATTCCCAGAACATGGAAGGTGGACATAGGCGATCACTGGAGCCAGACTAGCTGTGGCTGTATCACAGGCTTTGAGATCAATGAGAGACCTTGCCTCAAATAATAAAGTAGAGAGTAACCAATGACTCACAAGGTCAGCTTCAAACTACTACATAGGTGCATACACTTGCATGCACATGGAACTCCATACATGTTCCATAAATGTCAAAAATTCACACACACATGTGCATATGGGAAGAATTTGAAATTTATACCAAGTATGAGTTTTAAACTTTACATACTTATAATTAATGTAGACAACAGCTATATTTTTTATTTTAACTGTATTTTTTTTTATTTTATACCCTTTTTGTCCCCTCCTTAGAAATACTTACTGTATCAGAATTTATACTAGTGTCAAAAGAAATGAACAAAAAAACCAACATCTGCTGGAACGGGAGAGAACAGTCCTGTCACTCCTTGGTGGCCCCAGCTTCCTTTAAATCCCCTTTGGACAGACAGAAGAGTGGGAAAGGGGCTAAACTCCTCATAAGTTCCTCTGTACAGACAGCTCTGGGCCTCCAGAATCCTCCTTTATTCCAGCATCCAATATTTACCGAGGCCCCACTAAGAGACAGATGAAGTTCTGTTTTCACCTAAAAAAGCATTTAGTGCTCTACACGGTACACGGGGGAGATTTTTCTCTGAGGCAACTGTGCGAATAAGCTGTTCAGAAGCATGACTGGTATCTAGTAAATGCTAATCCTGGGGGAGGGGTGCGCGCGAGCGTGCATGCATGTTTAAGGGAATTCTGCATACTTTATAACTATTATTTAACTGTGAGAGAAATATGATAAACTTAAATTCTCACAAATATTCTGTATGTACCCAGCACCAAGAATGACATCTTGCAAAATGGCCACCCAGAGCAAGGGTTTCCTTTTGTTCTGTATAAGTATGACCAAGGGAAGATAATTCACACGCTAAACGCTCATCTTAGTTGTAGGCACTGGCTACAGCGCTTCACCTTACAGGTAACACGTACATAGACATTTGGCCTCTCCTTCCCTTTCCACTTTTAATCTCAGTTCAAATGAATTTCAAAATTCCTCTTGCTTCCATCCTACAATGACCACAGGGAGAGTACTTAATTCAGACATGTGTATATTACTTCTCCTTGATCTTGCAAGGTGGGGAGCATACAGGGTTTCAATTAGCATAGCTCAATTATAAACACCCGAAGGTCCAAACTACTGGTTAAAATGTTCCTTGTATTATAACAAGATGTGTTATATTACTAAATTTTAGTTATTTCTGACTCTTCCACTAGCCCTGTCTTTTGAGATTCAATGGCAAATCCTACAAAAGTCAAAACACATCGGAAGAACAACAAAAACCAGCTCCCTTGGAGGAGGAGGCAGAGGAAAACATATCTTGCTTAGGAGTTCGATAGGGAACAGTATATTTCTTGGAGGCTTTCCCTTTAAATTATTTCTGGTGAAGGCTGGATTTTGGTCCTGCTTCTGACTTGCTGAGGGCTATTTATGATTTATGTCAACCTTGGCTGGCTCTAAGGAGGAAAAATGAACAGTGAGAATAAAGAAGCCTAGTCCTCAGTGGTCCCCTGACAGGGAGCACCCTAGCTCTTAGGAGATAGGTACAATGTTTATATTCGATATTTTTCCTTTTTCTCCTTAAAAAATAAAATTAAAATCATATATCTTTTTTAATTAGAGAACAAGTGCCATCATTTTTTACAGAGAAATGTCAAACTGTGAATCTTTTCGTGCAGACTGGTCCTCTGAGATGTTCTGAAGCACAGTGGGGGGATTTTAAAACCAGTCAAATATTTTTTCTTGGGGAAAGCAGTGATAGGTCATGGTGAGGAGTGGGTGCTATTAACGTTTTATAGAAATCCCTAATACACCAGAGTCACCATAATGTTGCCACATGGTCTAAAACATCCCCGAAGAAACAGTCACTGTCCATCCTGGCTCTAAGGGAAGCTGGTAATCTATCCATTTTAATGATCTGCATGTTTAAAATATTCTACATGTGCGTTCATAAAATAGTCAGACAAGTTCTGTTCTGTTGGGTCAATAATTCATGTACTAAAATCTCTCTATATGTACATAATCAGCTCTGGGTCTGAGTCAGTCCTAAGTCAGTCTATAAAAACATGACTGAATCCTTGCATGGTCTGCATTGGGGCAAGCAGCAGGCGCAGAATGCAGTCGGTAGCACGGGGATGTCGCTGCTGTGCTCCTCTCAGCAGCTGTGTGTCTGTAGACTTCCTCCAGCCTTGTTTTTGTAAAGTCAAGAGAAAAAAAATACTACACAGGACACTGTTAGACAGCTGAGGACTGTCATAGCAAATGTTTGGATTCCCTCTTTAAATTCATAAGAACATTCTTGGTGTGTTTGTTCTGTTTTACCTTTCTGAGACAGGATTTCTCTGTGCAGCCCTGGCTATCCTAGAACTCACTGTGTAGACCAGGATGGCCTTGAACCCAGACACCTGCCTACTTCTGCCTTCCAAATTCTGGGATTAAAGGTATATGTATACCACCATCACCAGGCACGAGAACATTCTTTATTTCTATCATTCAAAAAGGTACATTTAGCAACAAAAATCACAGTAGACAGCAAAATAATGATACTGGTGTGATTAGTTGAGATTACAGACTACAGAGAGCTTATCTGAACATGTAACGATGTCACCGTCTTGATGGTGGCATCCTACTAAAGATACTGACTAAAATGAGGGAATGATTCAGCCCCAGTATGCCGTACAGAATTGGAAGGAAATCTGTCTGCATCATGGTATTTCAATGACATATTGATTAATTAACATACTCTTTGCTGTTAATATGCTCAGCTTCCTCCCAGGCCTACCTAATACATTTGTCACTTTAATAACGCTATAAGACACAAACTCCAGAAAAAGTTGAAGTCATGTAGGCGATTCCAACTCCTAAGTCCAATATACATTAACTGAAAAAGAATTTATGCTAAATTCTTTGAATAGGTGAGTCATTTTTTGTCACTTCTGATGATTGGATAAAATGTCATGGATGTCTTAGCGTATGTCTATATGTGAACAAGTTTCTAAAATTGTTTCTAAGGGACAGCAGAAGATAAAAATTTAACACAAACAGCAATGACAAAAGTCAGATACTAGGTGTCAGCGCACATCTCTGCAAAGCCCAGGTGCAGGAAAGTAATGACTTCCATAGCCACTGCTGATGACTTTTGCGGAGGGAAGATTTCAAATAAACGCCTGTTTGCTTTGGGTGAGCTTCGCTGAGTTGGCCTTATTTGATTTCAGATCCTCCTAAGGGAAGAGATTTCAGGATTTCCTGCTTGTAAAATGGAAAGAACACTTTGCTGAACTTGTATGACATCATCTGAGGCAGTAAAGGGCAGATAAGCGTGGGTGCTTTGCCTGTTTGCCAGCCTCTTCTCGTCCTTAATCTACTGCATTTCCAAATGTCAAAGTACGCCAAAGCCAAGATTTAGAGGCTGCAGAAGTAAAGAAATGCCAAGAGAAGCCCTCCTGCTTTTGTGATATGTGTTAACAATCTTCAGATGGGCTTTCCAAAGTGTTACAAGCTGCACATGGATGGCCTAATGATCCATGTGAGGATGCTTAACGGCCTAACCAGTGCTGAACAGACTCTGTCTCTGTTCCTAATGCAATCATAAAACTGCCCTTCCTCATTCACACCTGAATCACAACACAGAGAACATAGGTTTGAGAAAGGGAATATAATGAAGTTAAATTAAATGCATTTAACCAATTAACACCAGACTACAGAAGGAAAACAACAATTTTCTTTCTAAACCCCCAAAAGTCACTTATGCTAAAAGGGGTAAATGTAGCTGCCATAACACACACACACACACACACACACACACACACACACACACACACGATATACCCACAATTGTGTGTGTGTGCACACACACACACACATATATATAATATATATGTATGTATGTATATATAAAGTTGTAAGCCAATTGTTTTCAAGCTGATGCCACTACACAAATATTCTACAATACACTTAAAATACTACAAATAAATAGCTAATGCCAAACTATTTGAAAGATCTTATTCTAGGCATACAGTAGACATGTTCTTTCTGAGACTAAATGGATTTCTTTGTGATGCCAAACCCCTCAACCGCAGCATACTGAAGAATCATGAAAGAAGATGGTCTTACCTCGTACTCGAAGTCTTCTGCTCTCTCTGCCTCAGCCGGCAAGCTGGGGATGTACTCATTGTCTTCATAAAATCCGTGCTCCATTGGGTGGAGAGAGTGGCAGCTGTGGGGAAGGCAGCGGCAAGGTAGCCATGGATCCCAAGGATTGCTTCCATGATTCAAATGGAGTTTGGAATGCCACCTTAGCCTTTCCAGCTCTGGAGTAAGATCTGTTTATGGCTAAAGTGATTCTGCCTTCAATAGAAGCCCTTGCTTTTCTCTCTCCCCATTGGTAAAGCTCATCAATGCCCTATATCTGGAGGCTAGCGGAAAGGCTCTGGGCTCTAGTTCCATTTTGGAAAGACACCAATGTGAATTTTCCCATGGTTCGTGGTGCTTCACGGACCACCTGACTTGCTTCCATTGCCCCGAGCGTGACAATCACTGCATAGGCATGTTGCATTTAAAATTGCTGCCTACCATCGTGCAAGGCCACAGGTGCAATCTGGCTGTTCATTGGCGTTTTCAAAAGCACACATTTTTCAGATGATAACATATACCCACATTGCTGTCTGTTTCTCAGGACTCTACCTCACGTTCTCTCTCATGGCCCAACCCTCCTCTTTGATAAAAGGCATGCACAAAAATAATAAATACATTCTTGGTGACAGCTCTCTGCTATTGTGGACATTGTCCAGTTAGTTCAATTAGCATACACTAGCTCTGCTTTGTCTAAATGGTGAGCCCTTTGTTGATGTCCTCTTACAGGATCAGATTAAATTCTCACCTGCATCTTCTTACTACTTCTATGGCTGCTGTTCTGCTAAAGCTAAGCCATGTGAGACCAGATAGCAAAACCGGTACAAGGGAGCATCCTGACTTCCTATCTGTTGGGTGGATACATCCCCCCTGCTCTGCAAACAGGAGAAAATGACAGCTCTTTTTCTGGGGCATTGATGTGCTCCCTTTGCTCTTCAGCTGGTAAGAAAGGAACACTGCCATAAGGAAGACCTTAATCATTTCACAAACATTTCCTGAGTGCCCACCAGATGCCAGGCTCTGGGCCAAGGGCTGGAAACATGCTCATGCACAGAATCTAATTCTTGCCCTAATGAATGAGGACGGCAGCAGAGTGGCAATTTTAATATAAGGATATAATTAAAAGCAAAATATGGATACTGTGGGGTCACATGGTGAGGACAGAGATGGTGGAGCAAAGTGAAGAGCTGCAGGACTTGGGAGAAGTATCTGTCCACACCACTTAAGGGATGCCAGCCTCCATCCAAAGCAGATGTCAGACTCTGGAACTTCCTTGCTGTGTGGTCTTAGCCAAGCACCTTCACACGTGTCTCCTCGTCTGCAACATCGGGAAGGTAATAATACAGGTACTCTGTCCCAAGGCTGCCACGAGGACTCAATAGAGCACCGATGTAAAACACTTGGAATATTACCTAAAACGTGTTCAAGTCCGGTAATAAAAGCTAACTTTCTACTCATTCTAGAAAGCATGAATTTCATTTGTTTGTTTATTGTTCATTCTCTCTGTAGAATAGAAATACTAGGGGCCACTGGCTTTACAGCTGCCCACGGTTTCATTTTTTTGTACCTGGTACAAAAGTTACTGAATATGTAGTGGGGGAATGAAGACAAACAGTCAGACGGACGGGGACACACACACACACACACACACACACACACACACACACACACCACAGGCTGTGCCTTCTTGCAAGCTGAAGTCTCGAGACAGTTTCAAAAACTTGCTTGGACATTAGAATTGCCTCGGGGAATGTTTGAAAAATTGTTGTGGCTCAAGTTTACTCTAAAATGTCTTGATTAATTGGGCAGAGGCAAGACTGGGGCTCCTACGAGTGTTCCTTCGAGTGTTCCTTAGGGTTCCCAGGCGAGCCGGCTGTGTGCCTGTGACTCACTGAAACAGGCAATGGAAGTAACTAATGGGCTGGGACCAGACACAATAATGTGGGTGTTTTACAAACTAGAAGCTGGGATAGAAAGCAGTGAAAATGCAGCCTGAAGGGACCATTGCTCTTAGGAAGCAACTCTGGGCAATGTGTGAAAATTACTTAACACAGAGAACAAAATGTGTGGGACAAAAACCAGACAGGTGACATTATTTAAATAAAACACCCCGCCTTTAAATTTTGTAAAATTGGGAGGAAAATTCATTTAATTGCTGCTGATTTCAGTGTTGTGTTTATTTACTCTGTGAAAAGCAAGACTCCTTGTTTGCATCTCAATACATCTGGTAATTGGTTTCTTTAGAGAATTGTAGTTGAATTAAATCAATTTCCTAGATTCTTTTGTAAAGAAAGGAAAAGCGAGGGAGAGAGAGGTGACTCTCGGAGGAGAACACGGTGCCAGCATGTCACTTTCACCTGAGCCTTAATGAGGCTTTCTGGCAGCTTTGGTGAGAAAAGTTATTTCCCTGACTCCAACTCTGAGCCTTGAGGGGTAGAGAGAGCAAGGCTAGCGAGGCAGAGCTGGGCTTCTCACTGTGCCTCGGGAAGTCTGATTCCAGGGCACAGCTAACTGTGTGACCAGGGAGGAGAGCGGCAGGGATAGTTGAGAACTGACTGAGAGCACACACACAGAAGGGAGATTATTTCCAAACACAGCTGGGCATCTGTCCCTGGAACTGTCAACTTCTGGGGGACCTGGCTCTTTCCAATGCCTGCTTTAGACGGCAAATGACCAACAAATAAGGCGTTAGGAGAAAGGAGAGAAGGAGAGATAGATACCTGTCTGAAAGCAGAAAGGGACAGGTGTCTGGCACTGGAGGAGTGAGGGGTCGAAGTTTGGCCAGGGCCATGATGTGTTCAAACGTGATGTCCGTTTGTGTGCTGGCATTCATGAGCTGGACTTCCGGGACCATGCCGTATGTCGGTCGGCTGAGGGGAGTCCGTCTTAACACCTGCACCACGATGGGCTCCTTGGCGGTTCGGAAAGCTTCCACTGCCTCTTCATGGGTGGCCTTTGACAGATCCTTGCCATTGACCTATGAAGACACAAGGGCAGTGTGCGTTAACTTAGAGTAAAAAAATAGAAGGCTTCCAGGACAGACTGACCAGCGCTCATATGAATTATTTGAAGGATTATTTAATCAGACATCAACATTTGCTGAACTATCTGCCAACATAAGGAATCAACAAACTGGGAAGGAGAAAACCACTTTTACAGTTTTATGAAGTATCTTGAGTTGATTAATAAAATACCATCAGAATTGTTAATAAAGTTTTAATGATTTAACACTACATCAGAAAATGAAAAGTTTCTACGTCGGTCAAAATCTTCAGCTTGGTAGAAACAGTGCATATATAGGCATACAACACTTAAAAAATACCAATCTTTTGCGATATTTTTAGTAGTTAACTGAAAACCTTCTGAAATTTACCTTTTCAGGATATTGTACAATTTTATTATATTTATGCTATTCAAAACCATGTTATCCAATGCATGCATCATATAAAACCATCATAATTCAGCATGGCCCATCAGTCAACTGTATCAACATCATGGAGAAGACCGTGAACCTGCAGAGTTTCTAAATCTATGTCAGACCTGCCGAGGCTGAGTTAGCATTTTGATAAGATCCCAGATGACTTGGACATGCTTAAAAGGAACACTATTCTAAATCCCTTAGAGAGAGGATGCCACACCCCTTCCGCATCCTCATCCATTTCTGCACTTTACTCATCAAGGTAGCTTCAGACACAAAAGATGGGGGAGGGTGCCATTCCTTCTCCCTTATTATCTGCCAACAGTTGCAGACAATTTGCATTTCGTGGGACTTGTCCTTATCTGTCTTCTAAAGGCCAGGGATGTCCCTCAGTGTTTGTAGAACCCACACTTTCTGCACACTTCTCCTCTTTCCCAAACTGCTCTTCAATGGTGTCACACTATTGCCCTCAAATAGGTCCTGATAACATAACCTGTCAGGGGAGGGTCTTCTAATAGACAGCTCTAGAATGCAGAACTATGTGAAATTCATCAATCTTGGCTTTTGCAAATATGAAGAGATATTTAGCAGCAACATAGTGCCCCAAACATCCTAAACGGGGTCAATCCTAGACATCAATCTAAGCCACTGATTTGTTGGTGAAGCAGTGATATCTGCCATGAGCCGACAAACTCTTAAAGAGCCCCGCATCTCTAACGAGGGAAGGAAATCATGTTGGCTATGTAACAATTGCTTACATTCAAACGAGCACATTCTCTCTCCCCGAGTAGACAAAGAAAGTGTGTCTGCTCAGAGCAAGTGTGGGGTAATGGGTTGATGATACGGTGCTAGGTGAAGGCATCATGTCATATAGAGACAAGTTTAATGACCTAGGAGAGCTAATTTGCTCAATGGACCCTGAAAGAGTTAATGTTCCCTCAAAAAATGAGCAATTAAGTTTCCACACCAGCAAAACACACGTCCCAGTTCCATTGTTGGATCACTAGGGAAACTCAGATGGCGATCTGATTGGCACTTAGTGAAATGCACACATTCACCAGCCCGTGCGTTCACATTCTGATTCTTGTCTCTGTGCACTGAACTTGGAGAAAAATCCTAAGATTTCACTGACAGCAGCTTGGCATGTTTAACTTGGTCATAAGGGTGTGTAGACATAGGACACTTAGGTAAACAGCTGTTCATTCTTTGAGCTTGTTCTGGGTGACTGTGCCCCAGGACTAGGGCTGCCACCATCTCCCTGAGGATAGACAGAGAATCATAAACAGAGGCCAGGATGCAGGAATACAACCCCAGCTCTGTGACGAACATTGTCATCCTCCGTGTAGCCCAGTATGGCCAGTATTTATGAGTTTCAGACTATGAGAATGAGCAAGCAGCAATGAGAAGTTTCGAGGGTCAGAATGGAGGTGAGAAATGCCGACTCATTTCCCCAAGTCTTTTATCTTTAAATTTAGCGAACTCTTCCCTGCTGTGTTCTACTCTACTTCTCTCTGAAAGAACTCCTATGCCTTTTTACTGATTTACCCTCTCCTGGAACTGTGTTGCTTTGCCACCTTGCTGACAGTCTGGCATCAAAAACAACCTCTCCCTGACAGTGACAGGGTGAAGTACTACACCCCCTTGGAAGGTGCTTCAAACAATATCTAAGGAAAGGGGAAATGTGTTGCCAGGTTTGCCTCGGTCACACATTAGAATCTACTGGTGCATAAAGTGTGTCTGCCAGCAAGCGATAGACAGACAATGCCATTAATCTAGTGTTTCCCTAAGGTGGCTCGATGTCTTGACTGGGTTAACTTAATTTTTATGTTCAGTATTCATATTTGTTTTAGTGACCTTCAAAGCAAAAACAACTTTAAAAATCGAGTTTCCAGAGACGGTGGAGTGCGCCAGGTAAGGTTGGAGAGTAGGAACCCTGCTGCTGAACCTTGTGAAAGAAAACAAGTTTAAAACACACTAAGGTTTTTGCTCTGCAGAAAGACAATGTCTATAGATGGCTGACTGGAGCTAGTGGAAGTCTCTGTGGAGAAACAGGCAGAAAGACTGAAGACCGGAGCTTTGCTGGAAGCCCACTCCAACTGGTACCACATCACCCTGCCTAGAAAGCTGCCCTGGAGAGAACAGTGCATGGGGAAAATAAATGCTGTTCCTCATATACTCCAGATCTGCAGAACCAGAGGAGGTCACGGTAGAAGACGGGGACCCAGGGAGCTACCAGTACCACACAGAGCCTGCTAGAGACAGAAGGATCTGAGACGCTCACCCTTCAACTCAGGGCAGCCCTACTAGCACGACAACTTCTCTTGATTTCTTACGCCCTTCTACTCTTGCATACATGTGTCGTGTCGGTTTTGTTCTTGTTTGTGTATTTCTTGGGATTTTGAGGCCACTGTCTGTGACTCCCCACCCAGTTCACGCTAAGGCCTTTCAGTTCGTCTCATCAACCCCCACACCTACGTCCCTCTTCTCTGTTGTTTTCTAGTCCTTGTATCCTCCCCTTGCACTTCCCATTGGTGACCTACCACAGAGTATCCCGACTTTCCCCTCCGTGTACTTCACAAAGTTGACTCAAGATTTAATTCTTCTCCTTACCCACCCTACTTTCTCCATACTTGTAATCGTATTAACTAAAATCTGAATACACTCCATTTTCTCCCTGGTTAGGTAGCTTCCTACAGTTCCTGAGGTTGAGAAGGCCATGTTATTCATTGACTAGTATGATATTTGAAGAGTAGTGATGTTACTTGGGATTGTTCTCTCTCTTAATATAGTACTTAGGGGATAATCCAGAGCTTGCACTGGGCACTCTGAGCTCCTGAAGTGAGGCATTATTTTCTGAACAACACATTCAAGTCTACTACACCCAAGTATTATTTTACAATTGCAAATACTTCACTGAAATAAATGTAGTTAATAAAAACTAAAGCAAGCAATGACATAACATGTGTAAGCCCCCGAAAACCTAACAAAGTATAACTTCTATAAAAAACTATTAGTGTGACTAGATGAAAGCCCAGAGAACTCAAAGTAGTGATTACAAGAATGTTCAAAGAGACTAACAAAGAGCTTAATGAGATAAGAAAGGCGATGGATGATATGAAAGAGGAATTCAACAAAAAGGGATATACTGGAGAAGACTGAGTTTGAAATGCTGGCCAAAAAAAGCACAGTGAGGCAAAATAAAAAAAAAAAAACCTCCAAAATCTCATTAACAGAATACATTAAAGAGAAGACAGATTATTGGAGCTTGAATGGTGGAGGAGGAACTAAAGCATCTAACCAGGACAAAGATATAATAATAATAATAATAATAGTAGTAGTAGTATAGTAGTAATAGTAATAATAGTAGTAGTAACAACAACAACAACAACAACAACAATAATAATAAGTCTCCAGTAAGCATGCCCATATACAAGTAACACTCTGAAAATAACAAACCCGAGTTTATTAGTCATAGAAGTATAATCTTGTTTTAAGGGCATAGAAGACATTTTCAAAAGAATCATAACAGATCATTTTCCAGAGTGAACAAAAGAGGTGCCAATCCAAATATAAAAGACTTTAAGGGAACAAACAATAAAAACCAAAACATAATCTTCTACCATTATATGATATTGGCTTCCAGAGCTCAAGTGGATGACAAGTATGTGTATGGGCAGCATATGGACTCAGTGAGGAAAAACAGAGGAGAAGACATGAAGTCATGAAGGAGATATGTAATGGGGATTCCAGCAAAATCGGATGGTGGCAAGGGGGAGTAGATATGATAAAAATACTCCTCATGCATGTACAAAACTCTCTAAAACTAAATATTATATTAAAATGAGTTTCCATAAGCATTCCTTGTGTACCTATGCGTTAAGGTTAATTCTGACAATTTTAGTCTGTACAATAAAATCTGCAGAAACATAAGATTCACTGAAAAGCATTTTAGGATGCAAAAATACCCACTAGTTCTCATGGCAGCACTCAGTGTATACCAATACCATTAACATTTATGCAGAAGATCATTTGCTGTTTAGTCTATGACCTGTACACTTATTCATTTGCAATCGTGGCATTTATATGCAAATTTAATTCTTTGCTTTAAGGACAGTCAAATATAATCTTTCAAAAGGACAGTCAATGTAATCTCAAATATCTTACTTCCCCATTGGGCAGTGCTCTTTTCTGTCAGCCACTGTATGGCTGACCTCTATTTTCATAAGCCATTTAATATCTCTCAAAGTAAGGAGGTCTCTGACCTTTAAAGGCTCTGATGCCCTACGTGCGCTCCTAGAAAATGTGAGCATTACTAATACTAAACAGTTTTTTCACTTCACTTGAAGTTCATCAACATATTGTTAGCCTTCCAAAAGGTCACCATTTTATAAATTATGGCTTTCACAACAGAAAAAAAAATAGATGAATTAGGATTTTTTTTTCTGGCAGTTGCCTTGCTCAGTTATCTGCAGGTAGGGCTAGAAGGAACAATATCGGAAGAATATCTACCCTTCTGTGAGAAAACTGTGCAGCAAATCAATAAATAATTAGTTATAAGA